TGACAATAACGGTCGCCTCCCGGACCTGTTGGTCGTATCGGAAAGCGTGCGGAGAGTTAACGAAAGTGACGTCCGGTTTCCAGATTAGATCCGATGAGACAATCAGTTGTGTCTGTCCTCCAAAGTCCGATGGATTCCATCGCAAGCCCTCATCCGTCCAATACTTGGCGTTTAATTGAATAGTTTTACAAATTTTAACAATTATTCAATTACTTGAAAATTATAGCCAATAATAAAACAGTTTTTAAATACACACCAAATTCATCAAAGCATTGAGTGTTAAGATTTGGGACTTAATGTTCTAAAACGAGATTTAGATTATACTTATTTAATGATTTTAATTTAGTTTTATGGGGTTTTATCATAATGTTATTTCTTGTAATAATCACCAAATCAACAATTCTTAGTAATCGGATCCAAATGCTGACATTCACTGCTTGATTGTGATCAACGACTGGTAGACAAAACTTAGTGTAATTTCGATTAACAAATAGCTCTTTTCGCAAACTCTTTACTGATTCCGATTCGTCTTTATATAGAAATTAAATGTAATTTTAATCATTTATTACTTTTGCTAAACTATTACTTTTGTTTAGACATACCTTGAGATGCTATTGGATTTATAAAACACAATATTATAATTATTAGATACATATTGTGTTTATAAAAAAATATTAAAATTAAATTTTTTAATATCACACAAATTGTATTTACTTGTAAACTTGTATATTTGTACACCCATTTCTAATCAGCAAATCATATTAAATTTAGTAATTTTATATTTAATATTAGGTTTTCAAAGTTAACTATTTATTATTTAACATTTTATTTATCAACAGTGTTAGGCTTTGGGTTTTAGTGACCTCAATCAAATATTTAATAACTAAACTAATTAATTAAAATTGAAATTGCATCTATGTAGCCAAATGTGTAATTTAATTCACAAAACACACATAAAACTATTTCTTATTTAATAAATTTTTTATTAAATAAATATAATATTATTATTATTAACAATTATTAACAATTATTTTTATTTTAATACTTTCGCGGTTTAAGTATATATTGAAATGAGAAATAATAAATACATAATAAATATAATTCTGTCCAAAAGTAGAGTAAACAAAATGCATTGTTTTCCAGAATCCATGTGTTTATCACTAAATTCAATACAAATACCACTTTCTATGCCTTCTTTGGCACTCAATTCATATAAATAGTCACCGATTCCTATGAAAGCCATCAATGGATTGCTTATAACAGTCGATACGATTGGATGTGAAGACAATTTCATTGCAAACAATCTGTTGATAACGNCCATCAATGGATTGCTTATAACAGTCGATACGATTGGATGTGAAGACAATTTCATTGCAAACAATCTGTTGATAACGACTGAACAGAAAGTCATAATCGCTATAAACACTATATGTATACCAGTTTTGGACACTAAAAATACAAATAATAATATTGAAAGTGAAAACTTGTTTTCAAAATATCACTACCAATGAGAGGAATGCCTTTATTTCCCGCGAACCCTATTTGGGATCCGATGAAGAGTTGTATTAATGTTAAGCACATAATTGAAATTGCAATCAATTTGTATCTTTTGAGTGAATTTGGAGGAAATGTGTTCATAATTATTGATACCATAATCGCCACAACTCGTGGCGTTTGTATGAAATAATACAAAAGCGATTGTTTTCTCTGCAACGTTACACTGATCGATATCCAAGTAATTATACCTTCATTTGGAAAGTTTTGAGCATTCTTTACACCTTAAAAACAATTATATTCTGTTACTATCATAATATAGTATATCATATTAACATTTAGTAGATTTACACTATCTTAAATTATATATTTGATGTGTATATATCAGTATTATTTAAATTCTTAGTACAGTATATGGTTTGCAAACTACTCTGATTTAGCTTAAAATAAGAAATAAATTATATTTATTAAAATACATTCAACATTGACAACATTCCACTCCTGGTTTTCAAACCTAAGTTTACTTTTGGACACATAAGTGGAAAGTTGACCATGGTCATATATTGAATGTAATGATTGCAAGTCAACGAATCGACTTTCATTTGTCGACTCAACCAATATTTCACACGTCTGTCTGTCCGACGGATAGTTCTTTAAGTCAGTCATACAGTATGTGTTAATCATTGTCTGCGGCATCCAATCGACACCACCGGACGAGTAGACAATAGCCGTCGACTCCCGGATCTGTTGGTCGTATCGGAAAGCGTTGGGTGAGTTTGTGAAACCGATGTCCGGTTTCCAGATTAGATCCGATGAGACTATCAGTTGTGTCTGTCCTCCAAAGTCTGATGGATTCCATCGCAAGCCCTCATCCGTCCAATACTTGGCGTACAATTCAATAGTTTAAAATATTATAAAGTATGTTAAGTAATACTTAATTACAAACCAAATCCATGTATGCATTTAGTGTCAGTATTTGAGTCTTAATGTCCTAATAAGAGATTTTAGTTATAATTATGACGTAATGTCTAAAATGTGATTAATTTTGGTAATTACAAGGTCGACAATCTTTAGGATACGGATCCAAATGCTGACATTCACGGCCTGATTGTGATCATTGACTGGTAGGCTATTCTTATCGTACTTTCGTTTCACAAACAACTCGTTTCGCAAACTTTTTACTGATTCTGATTCATCTTTAATGCATAAATTAAGTACAATTTTAATTAATAGTAAAATTTATTATTTTGTTGAGACATACCTTGAGATGTAATTGTATTTATTAAGCACAATATTATAATTATTACAAACATTTTACGCATACTAATCATATTAATTCAAAATATTATTAAAAACTAACTTAAGTGTATAAACGTGTAACTTAACTTTTAATTTGATCTAGTTTAAAACGCCCATAGGAATTCAGTAACATAATAAACATAATTATTATTAAGTAAATATTTTGTGTTTATGATTAATTAATCGTTATAAAATGACAACTTTGGATAGAGATTAGATAAGTTAACTTATTAATTATCGAAATGGCATCTAGGCACATGTTCTCTTATAAAACAAATCTTTGTTAATCAAATAAACAAAACTTATTTTTTAAATATTAAAAAACTATATAGTTTATTATTAAATTAATGAATACAGTTATTACAATTTTAAAATAAGTTATTATTAAAATGATTTTAAGTAACAATATAGTTTTAAATTTAAAAAATAATAATTTTGATTATAAGAAACTATTTTATAACTTAAAATTGCAGTCATTGATAGTTTGAAATTAAAATGATATAAAACAAACATTTGTCTGAAAATCATTAAAATTCTTATAAAATTATTTAATAAATTGTGTTATAACTATCAGTAAATGCCATTTAAATCACTTTCCTATAGAGTATAACAATTTTCACTATATTTTTATTAATATCGCTATAAAAGTGCGATAAAAGAGCACTACATATACAGATCAAGAATAATATCCATATAATGTCTGTGTTTTAGGCGAGAATCGTTGTTAAGGTAACAAAAAATAGCAATTTTTTAATACAATATAACGTAATATCAATGAGTGGTCGCCGGGAATGAAGAGTAAAAAACTTTTTTAGTGTTATTATTATTTAATAAAACACAACTGAAAAAGCATTATATAATAACAACACAAACGCATAGAAATTCTTTCACATATCATATACGAGAATATAATAAAAATGAATGAATTTTTCACATAGTATTTGATATAAAGTTTTTTATATATTCTGTCGATATTTTAATTGAAAGCCAATGTTTGTTGTAATGATTGTGTGTTTAACAGAATTTTTATAATTAAAATAAATGTTTATTTAATTTATGAATGAAAAGTAATTATTTTCAAATGTCATTTGTTAATTAAATGTAAACAAATTATATTTTAATTATTAATCACTTATTATGAGAAAGTTATCATCAGAAAAGTAAGTAAATATTTTTTGCAAATATAATTTTAAAAATGAAAATATTTATCAGTTGATAACTATTTAATACATACATTTAATTGTGTGATTAAAGTCTCTGTACTTTAAAATATAAAGCTATTCAATTTTTTAATTTTAATTAATTCTTATTAATTAATTCTTATTAATTAATTCACTATTAAATCATAAAAATCTTACTTGGTAACAACAAAAGTATTTAAAAATTATATTTGGTAAATTTACATGTGATTTGTTTTAATAATTTTTACTCAAACTTTATCTTTATTTATTTTAAACTGCATTTTCTGTACTTGTATTTCTAATTTTATCGAAAAATAATAACAAACATTAAATGTATTACAATATTTATTACATGAGAAATAGTATAAGTAATAAACATTTAACAAATTTAATAATTATATTACAATTTTAATCATTACATAAAAGTAGGAAACAAAATACATTATTTGATAATAAATACAGAATTTATGGTCAAAATAATCACTTCCTTAACAAAACATAATAACATTATTTCATTTCAATATTTATTACTAAATCAATTGTAATTGTGGTGTAAATTGACTTTGAAATGAATGTCTCGCAAATCAAGACATAGAAATTCATTGCCATTTTTGTCAGAAATATTATTTGTCTGAATATTAATTATTATCACGACTTTTGGGAAACAATTGACGGCTTATGTAATGATCGCTAAAAATAGTATTATTTAAAAACATTAGGAATCGTTACGGAATTGTCTTAACACTTAACACACGTGTCTATCATTTCAGATATTATTATAGCTGTCTATCGTTTCCTATGTTTGGGTGAGAGAGAGAGAGAGAGAGA